CAGGGGTTGTACAAAGGTGCCAAAGGCGGTTGCAGTGTGGTACTTAAGGCAGTGACCACACATGACCTCTGGATTTGGCACTCTTTCTTTGGGATGCCAGGAACTGACAATGACATCAATGTCCTGCAGTGCTCCCCTGTCTTTGCCAAGCTTGTTGAAAGTCATTGTCCTCCGGTGAACTTCGAGATCAATGGGCGGCACTACAACAAGGGGTACTACCTAGCTGATGGCATCTATCCGAGATGGTCGACATTTGTGAAGACTATCTCAAACCATGTGTCAGGAGGCAAGAATATCTTCTTTGCGAAGGTTAAGGAGGCTTGCAGGAAGGATGTCGAGTGGGCATTTGGTGTGCTCCAATCTCGATTTGCTGTTGTCCGGTACCCTGCTCAGACCTGGTCGACAGATCAAATGTGGGAGGTCATGACTTGCTGTGTCATCTTGCACAACATGATCATTGAGAGCGAGCAGGAAGAGCCGGTGTTTGACATAGAACCATATTACAGGCAGGGTCCTCTTGCCCAAGTTGATCACCAGCTACCGACAATCTGGACTGCCTACCTCAATATGCGTCAGGAGATCCGAGACCCACAGGTGCATCAAGAACTGCAACAAGATCTAGTGGAGCACCTATGGAGGCTCAAGGGCGACGCCGAGAACGACGTGTGATGAAATATGAGTTTTTATTTGTTGAACTATATAAATTGTATTGAACTATTTGATGAAATATGATTTTCTGTGATGAACTATGGAGGCCAAAACACGCCGAACCATGCCAAACTATGCGATGAACTATTTGATTTCTATTTGTTGAATTATTTATGCCGAATTATGGAGAATTCACGCCGAACTGTGCCGAATATGGGCCGATTCACGCAGATATCGAGCCGTTTTTCGACGAAAGTGGGCCGAAATCGGCGCCTGGGGGCGACGGCTGGGTGCCCAACCCCCCTAGAGCCAATTTTGCCGCCGGCTCGCCCCCGGGTGGCGATTTTTATGCCTCTTGGGGGGCGCAACGGCTGGAGATGCTCTTACATGCCTCCCCCTCTATCCAAGGCGTCAGCCACTGTGAGATCAGACACTGGATGAAAAAAGTAGGAAGTGATTATTTACAACGGTTTCCAAATATTTAATGTTTCTCATTCAATATAATGTGCGATCAAGTTATGTAACTTTAACTGTCAAAATATTGAACAATACATTCATATTGGTAAGCCAAAAATGTCATCTTTAGGATTTTATACAAATATGTTTCATAACATGTATTTATACACATAGAATAAAGAGTTGAATGTATACATATGCTGGAGACCAATGTCAATATCCAAGACGACATATATGATATAATCAGGAGCGTGGGAGTATCCTACTCTAGAAGCACTAATTTGATTAATAAGAATCATTTCTATAGTTGACTACCTTTTCGTGTAGCACAAAAGCGAGCATGACTACCTTTTCATGTTGCCTACTCATGGAGATTGGTCGAGAGGATGGGTGGTCTGTTGAAGGCCTTGTCCATGGACTCGATGATGACTAGGAGCTCACTCT